TGGGTTGGCCACAGCTTGTGTAGAGGTAAGTTAGTGAATTGGCCGTTCAGAGAGGATAGTTGAGATCAGTTAAGATCAACTAAGGATTTCACGCAGGAAGGATAGGAGGGAGGAGAGACAACAGATCAAAAGAAAAGTAGGAATATGATCAAGGGAATAGCTGAGGGGTTAAAGCTAGAGAGCTACGTCTACACTGCACACTTATTTCAAAATAAACGATTCCAGAAGAAATAATCTGAAATAGCTTATTTCGAAATATCACGTCTACACTACAGGGAAGCCTCAAAATTTGGCGGAGGCAGGCTCCCTTAATGTGGATGTGCTACCTTGATTTACAGCTCCAGGAGGCATTGGGGAGTAATTACTCTGAATGGCCCTGGGAAAGAGCTATTTCAAAATAGCAGCAGTGGAGCGTCCACACTATAGTTATTTTGAAATAGCTATTTCAAAATAGGCATTATTCCTTGTGGAATGAGGTTTACAGAAGTCAGAATTAGCTGTCCATTCTTCTGAATTTATTTCAAAATAATGGAATTGCTGTGTAGATACTCGCACTGTTATTTTGGAATAACAGTCGTTATTCCAAAATAACATTGCTAGGTAGATGCACTGGAAAGGATACCCCAAGTAGCAAATGCTGATATTATGATTAAGGAGTCAACCTGTTGCATCAGAGTGGATCAATTATTCCTTAAAAAATACTGTCAACCTTTGGGACTCAGGAAGAGGTAAAGAGGTGGTCTGTGCTTGAGGAGAGAGTCAAAGGTAGAGAAAAAGATGGGAGAAAGTTAAATCTGAATGGGAGCAGTGATTGGAAAATGTAAGGGCTTGTTCCCCCTCCCCCCCTTTTGCCACCAAAACATAAGAAAATATATCTCAGTTTTCAACTGCTTCATCTTTATACCAGTCCAAGAATTTGTGGGGGGCAAGGTTGAGTCTCTGAAAAACTTTGTGTTCAATGGGAATTCTGTGTGTCTAGACAGTTTTGAACATTGTTCACATCATTCTAGAAAGCATTTAGGAAATTTTAAATGAAGCCAGTTTCAAGCACAGATCAACTTGTCTTTCATCATAGAATCACATTCTTATTTTACAAATACATAGTTTTGAGTCTCTTTCCCAAATTCCATCACTTCCCTCTATTTTGAGAAATCATCATTCTTTACTTGTGACTAGGGATTTAAATTAAATTTAGATTGGCTAACTGAATAGTCGACGCAATTTACATTCACTATTTGATTAGTCAATAAGGGCGCCTCCACCTCTTAACACCCCGAGGGTTGTTGCTACATTTCAAAGGAGAAAGCACTGCGGGAAGACTGGGGCCAGCGGGGTACTCAAGCTGGCCCTGTGCTCCCTGCGGCATTTCAAAGCAG